GATTTCTTGACCATTGTCGACACCTCATATCTTTTTGAAAACAAAATCACCATCATTTTACCCTATCATCACAACAATCCAACATATTATGGGCAAGAGAATGAAGGAATTTCTCGTATTCAAGATGTATTTTATTGATATGTTATCTGATTAATTTCATATTTAGTGTACTTGGAGCTTTGTTGATTTGTGTTTACGTGTGAAACAGGAGAGGCCAACATGATAAAGGCGGATATGTTTGTGGATTGAGAGAGAGAAAGGTTTATGGGTCATTCATATATTTAATAATAATAAATATTAAAAAAATAATGAAAAATGAAAAATAAATATATAAAGGGTAAAAAAAAGTTATTTTAATTTTAGAAGGGACTAAATTCACAACGAAACTATCTGAAAAGAACCATGCATCCAAAAAAGGTTTAGACATTTTTCCTGAAAAAATACATACCACAAGGACCATTTTTACAGTTTTGTCTAATAATAATAATAGAAAAGAATAAAGACAAAATAAACAACAAAAATATCAAATCAAATGGTGCAATTAGTAATAAGATTTGTAATAAATAAATTAAATATATAATAAAAAAACTTGATTTGATGGAACCTCAACTGATTTGATTCACTTTAGGGTGCAAGTTTGCAACTAGCAATATGCTACATATAGTAGCACGCGTAACAATCACATGCATGTAGCATGTCAAAGTCACATTTAAGGTACACATTGATTTACGAGAATAAGAGATCAATGGGGAAGTATCGTCGGTATCTCCATGAACACCATTCCTTGGTGTGTGGTGCTGCATGAATATGTGCCTATAAAACGAACACTTTAATCCAAATTTCGAGAAGGCCCATAACCTACACATGGGTTGTTGTAGCTCTGCAATGCCAAAATTATAGCTCCTCGGGCGCAAATGCAAACCTTCGTCATTGTCGTTGTGCTTTCTTGAAAGAAAGTATGTTACATACCCATTGGTGAATATATATATATATATATATATATATATATATATATATATATATATATATAGACACACAGACACACATACATATAGGGGAGCATTCAATCGAGAACATTTTTATTGCGAGAACATTTGAGAACAAAAATTACACTTTAATTTTACAAGGTGGAATAATTTTAAATAACTTAACAATTAATTGCAAACATATGACATTTAAAAAAATAATGGGGGTATAATCTTAAAAAGGAATAATAACTGAATTGTGCATACATATATTGTCGGAATCCTCAATTTACAAAAAAAAAACCCTCATTTCTCTCAATTAAAAACCCTCATTTCTCTAACATTTCATCGATTCTCAACGATTTTCAACGAAAACGAAGAAAATGTCGTCAAAAGCAGAGAAAACGCCATCAAAAGCTTCATTGAAAGTTATCAAAATGCATATTCGATGTTTTTTTTTTGCTGAATATCACTTGATTTTCATGATTATCGAGTTTTCTACTGTTCGTTTCATCAATATACAAGAAACCGACATTATTCAAAAGTTTTTTTTGAAATCAAACTCTAGTTTTCGATGTCGAACACTTTACCGAAGGTTTTCTGTTAAATAACACTCAATTTTACAAGTATATCGAGTTTTTCTACTCCTGTTGTGTTCAATATACACGAAATATGCATTTATTCAAAAGTTATTTTAAACTAAAACCCTAGTTATGAGTATATCGAGTTTTCTACTATTTCTATGTTCAATATACATGAAATATGAATTTATTCAAAAGTTATTTTGAACTAAAACCCTAGTTACGACTATATCAAGTATTTCTACTGTTGATTTTTTCATTATACACAAAAATCTGCATTTATTCAAAAGTTATTTCATACTAAAATCACAGTTTTCGTTGTCGAACAAGTTACTGAAGGTTTTCTGTTTAATAACACTCAATTTTACGAATATTAACGTTTAGTTTATCGAGTTTGTGTTCTGTTATTCATGTATTATGTAAATAAAGTCGGTTTGAACTTGTAGAAACTACTAAAACGTTTGAAAAAAATATTCCAGAAATTGGACAGATCCTAAAAACGTGCATGAAGGTGATAAGTCATATGTTGTAAATGACTGTGTTCAATCATATATGATTTGCTGATGAATTATTACTTATAATGATCGTGTTCAATCATATATGATTTGTTGATGTTATAATCTCCAAAAGGATTGAATCACATGTGATTACATCTATACAGACAACAAAGATTGAGTCACATGTGATCATAATCTAGATAAACAGTATATTATTTATTTGTCATGACTTGGGTTAATCATATATGATTTTATTATAATACATGTATTTGTACATCTCAGAAACCAATAAAGAGCAGCCAACACCTATAGAAACTAGTACTAAGTTTTTTACAAAAGCAACAACAAAACTCAAAATGGTAATACTTCAATCATTCAATATCAATTGTGATTCATATATTTTATGTGTATAGTCAAGTATGATTTTCTAATTATATCTATATTTTTTTCAGAACAAAACAAAGAAAAGCCTACACAGCAAAACCTACCGAAAGAAAAACAACAAGAAAATCACCAACAAAGGTAGTTGAAAAAGGTATATTTCAATAAAAAATGACTATAAAACAAAAAACAAACACTCTGTTATTAATCTCATATGATTGATATCTTTTATGTGCCAAAAAAGATTCAATAACAAGTGATTATTATATGTTATGAACACATTATGTACACAAAAGATATTTAATCACATATGATTAAAATTGACTTTGTGATTTTCTCATTATATATGTATTTTTATATCTCAGAAAATCCTAAACAAAAGGAGAAAATAAGAAAAAAAAGGAGAGTGTAGCAGCAGAAATACAGAGAAGAACAGAAGAAAAGAATGAGAAATGTATAATTCAATCAAATATGATTATACACATAAACATAATACACTCTTTTTTAATCAAATGTGATTACAATCTTTTATATATACAAAATATATACAATCACATGTGATTAACATCTATCAAATAACAATGTATGTATTATTATAATAACATTGTTTTATACTTTGTGATTTATATCTATATTTATATGTCTCAGAAAAATCTAAAGGAAAAGGAAAAAGAATCATTGAAGAAGAAACAACAGAAAACATGTCTAAACAAAAACATGACAAATGTATAACTCAATCACATGTGATTATAATCAATTTTAAAAACTTATTACTTCAATCACATGTGTTGTAGAATGTATACTTATTTATTATTGATTTGTTTACACATGTGATTTTCATTACAACTATCGTACAATTTGAAGAAAAAACCGAGTCAAGAAAGAGAAAATCTATGGCTTTAAAAAGAGAAAAACAAATTGTTGATGAAAGTGAAGATTCTGACTTCGAAAAAAAGGATAAAAATATAAGAAAGAAGAAGATAGTATTTTTTTTACACAACCAGAAACAGGTATATTTTTGTGATTACCATCTTTAGTATATTATGTTTTAAATCACATATTATTAACATATGTTATGATAAAAAATTGCCTTTATATATACAAAAGACAAAAATCACATGGGATTATATTTACTATGTTTTTCAGTTAAATAACATTTGATTGAAAATATCAAACATACATAATAACATAAGATTTTGATAATCTTATATATATATATATATATATATATATATATATATATATATATATAGAAAAAAAATCACATGTGATTATATTTCATGTCTTTTTCAGTTAAATCACAAGTGATTTAAATATCACAAACACATAATCACATATGATTTCGATAATCTTTTATATATACAAAACACAAAAATCACATGTGATTATATTTCCTCTGTTTTTCTAGTAAATCAGACATCATTCAAAATATCACACATATATACTAAATTCATTAATTCTTATAATCATATATGAATTTAAATCATCATTTGATGTATTTGATTATAGGAGTTCCCCTGCAGCATTGTTGTCTGTAATCCAAAATTTTAATAATATTCAGAAAGACTGTGTAAAAAAGATGGGTTTTGGGGGGATTTTAAAAATGAAGTTGATAGAGGTGTCGGGGGCATTAAGTTGTTTCATTCTTCAGAAGTTTGATTCCACCACAAAAAATGATCTTGGAAAAGTAAAAATTGATGTGACTAGAGAATCGGTCCATCAAATGCTTGGATTTCCGTTGGGAAGCATTGAGTTTTCAAAACTTCCATACAGAACAAAAACGATAAAACATATGAAGAATAGACAAACCAATTTGAAAACAAGACCATGATTCGTCTACAAGAGATAAAGATGAAGATCGTTTCCTCAAACAAAGCAGATACGAACTTCAAGATGAATTTTATAGCTTTGTTGATCAACTCTTTGATAGAGTCAAGCTCTTCAGAAAAAGCAAACACAGACCCGTTGAACTACATAACGAAGAAGACAAAAATAAACAAAATTGATTGGTGCTCGTATTTGATAGAATGTCTGGTTAAAACCAAACAATCCTTTGATCCATCCAGTGCAACAAGCAATTTTAATGAACCATCTTCTTATTTGGTGGTACGTTTAATAACTTCATTTCTATTTCAATATATTTATAATAATCTCATGTGATTGAATAGCTATAATCACATGTGATTGAAAAAGTAAATTTTTTTAATAACATATGATTTCATTATATATAACAAATGTTATAACATGAATAGCTATAATCAAACGTGATTAAAAAAAGTAAATTTAGATATTCACATATGATTTTCAGTATTTATAATAGATATTAAAATCTAAAATAAATAGATATAATCACATGTGATTTTTAGTGTTTAATATAGATGTTCAAAATAATTATCCTTAAAATCACATATGATTGATCAAATAAAGTTATATTAAAATCCGGATTGTTATAATCACATGTGATTTATAGAATTCACAATTTTTTTTGTAGTTACTATATGTAGATAGTGTCAAATCTAAGATTATAAAAGTTGAAAAAAAAACATCCAGTGATCTGCCACTGAAGTACAGAGAAGATGAAGATGAGAGAAAATTATGAGAAGGAAGAGTTGGGGGATTTTGGAACAGGAGAATTGAATGAGGAGTTCATAGTGGAACAGTTGAATAAGGAGGTAAACTTAATTGGTCTCATTGTTTAATAATCTTAATATTTAATCATATATGTTAATATATACTTTCATTCATTTGTGATTTAGGATTATAAAGAAATGATTATGACGAAGTTTAAGAAGCTACAAATGTTAACCGATAATGGACTCGATAAATTCCCTGCAAATGTAACATTAAATCATTTGAAAAATAGTTTGGAAGATATTTTTGATGATGATGATGAAGTGGTGAAGAAGAAAATGAAAGTGATGATGATGATGATGATGATGATGATGATGATGAAAATATTGAAGGCGGTGAAAATGAGGAAGAAAACGAGGATGAGGGATGTGAAGGCTGTGAGAATGTTATAAGAGAGGAAAATAAGGATAAAGGAAGTGAAGGCGGTGATAATGTTACAGGAGGAGAGGGAAATGAAGCAGATAAGAATAATGGAGGGCAAAAAAAATAAAGGAGGAGGTAAGTAATAAAATATTTTTCCGAATCATATATGATTATTATAAATATCTTTATAGAATTAGATATAATTAACTACATATTTTATAATGTTATAGGAGAGGAAAATGAGGAAGAAAACAAGGATAAGGGAACTGAAGGCAGTGATAACGTTATAGGAGGAGAGGAAAATGAAGCATAAAAGAATAATGAAGGAGGGCAAAAATAATGAAGGAAGAGGTAAGTAATATGTAATAGAATATTTTTTTTGAATCATATATGATTATTATAAATATCTTTATAGAATCACATATGATTAACTACATATTTTATTTATATACAGGTTTGGGTGGAAATATACATGAAGGAGTTGGTGAAAAAGTATTAATGATAAGGGAGAAGAGAATGTTCAAAAAACAGGTAAAACCGGTATATATTAGTAAATAATATTTAAATAGTAACTACATATTTTAATTATATGCAGAATTGATGGTGAAAAATGTTGATAATTACATATGTAATTTGTACAAATTAAAAGTCTTTGGATGTAAATTACTTGAATCCATTCCTTCAATATTCTCTATAAATGTTGATATGTTTTTTATATAATCACATATGATCATTCAAAAAAAATATTGATATTTATATATAATCACATATGTTATAATCACATGTAATTATATTCACATATGATTATATATGATGACATATGTTATAATCACATATGATTATATTCAGATATGATTCTACATGATTACATATGTTATAATCACATATAGTTATATTTATAATCACTTATGATTGCATATGTTATAATCGCATGTGATTAATTTTTTTTTAATTATATCTAGGTGTGGAGGGTAAGAATCTGGATGGGAAGAATGCTGAAACACGAGATGGAAAAAATGGAGAACAACCACAAAATGTTGAAGGAAGGGGTAAGCAACAATATATATTTATACAATAGATATGATTACATATGTTATAATCACATGTGAGTAAAAATGTTATAATCACATATGATTATATTCACATATCAATATAATATCTTTGTACAAGTTACAAATAATTAATAAACTTTTTTAATTATATTCAGGTGTGGAGGGGAAGAATCTGGAAGATAAGAAAGGTATGGAATGGAAGAATCTGGAAGGTAAGAATGTTGATAAATAAAAAGGAAAAACTATATATGTATAGTGTTTTGGAGGACGTAAATATAAGTATATATTTAATAATTATATATGATTATTAAAAATATATTTATACAATCATATATGATTATAAACTTTTTTAATTATATTCAAGTGCGGAGGGGAAGAATCAGGAAGATAAGAAAGGTGTGGAGGGGAAGAATATGGAAGATAAGAATCCTGATAAAGAAAAAGGAAAAACTATATCTGTACAGTGTTTTAGAGGAGGTAAATATGAGTATATATTTAAGAAGTATATATGATTATTAAAAATATATTTATACAATCATATATGATTATTAACATTATATTTTTTGTATATACATAATTGATGGTAAAAAATGTTGATGAAGAAGAAGGTACTGAATAATATTATCTGACGAAATTATTGTATTAATTATCAGATAATAATATTCAGTTGCGAATGGGAAGAATATGTTATAATCAGGTGTTATTAATCATTGAATAACAATATTTAGTTGTGAAGGGGAAGAATATGTTATAAATTGATGAATACATTCGTAATTTATGTATTAAATGTTTCAAATTATGTTGTTGTATGTAATTTGTACAATTTAAAAGTCTTTTGGATGTAATTTGATAATCACATATGATTAAATTATATGATAAATATTGTCTATAAAAGTTGATTTGTTTTTGTATAATCACATATAATTATTTAAATGATCAAATGATTATGATATCCTATGATTATAAAAATAAACAACCCTTAACCTGGTTTAATAATATGTGATTACAATTCTTAAAAATACACGAAAAAGCTTCAATCACATATGATTATATATAATTACATATGTTATAATCACATACGATTATATTTGTTACAAATCACGTGTTATTATAATCACATGTGATTATATTCACATATGATTATATATGATTACATATGTTATAACCAGATGTGATTATATTTGTTATTAATCACATGTGATTATAATCACATATAACTGTTACAACCTATGTTATGATCACATGCCATTATAATCACTCACATGTGATTATAATCACATATAGTTGTAACAACCTATGTTATAATTACATGTGATTATAATCACATATAATTGTAACAACCTATGAATACTAATTTTTTTTCATTTGTGTGATTTTTATAGAAAATATAAATACAAAAATTGTTGAAAAAACAATACAAAATGTTGTAACAAGTATTCTTGGCAACAGACAACAAATCCAAGACTCATAGATGTTAAACGATGATGAGGTCAGTTCTATTTACGAAAAGACAATGATGGAATACAAAGAAAATAAAGAGAGAAGTTTCATGCCATCATATGATATGAACATAAGCCAACTGACACCACCAGAGGTAACATTTCTTGTTTTTTTTGTTTTGTACAATATCATATGTTTATAATTGTAAACACATATGATTTCAATATTTCTTAAACGTTAAATCAAATGTGATTACAAGTAACTGTCTGTTTTTTAAATTTAATTTCATTTCATGTTTTATATATAATCCCATATCATTATAATATTTCTAACAATTATAATCACATATAAGTTATAGAGAAATACTCAACCAGAAAACCTCAAATGTAAGGAAGCTGTAGTGGAAGAAATTCAGTCTCAAAACCCAACCAAAATTAAAATTGTTTCAAAAAAACAAATTGTCCCTGAAGTTCCAAAGAACGAAAATATCACGGAAGAACCTCGCAAAAAGAGAAAAATGAACCGTACAGAAAAAGGAGGTCTCCATATAAAGAACGAGCCATTTCCTTGAAGACAAAGTTAACATCTGATGAAGAAATTCTCGGTGAATGGCTCTTCAACTTACAAGGAAGTGAATAGTAAGTTATTCATATGTGTTTAACACTTATAAAAAATCACATTAATTAATCAGATGTTCAAAATTAGTTAATCACATGTGATTATCAAGCATAATCACATATGATTAAAATTTGTTAAGTATACTTTTTCAACAGTTATCAATCACATGTGATTATAATTATGAATATAATAATCACATTAAAACATACTTGTTAAACATGCATCAATCACATGTGATTACTAAACATGATCACATATGATTAAAAATTTTGTTAAGTATAATTTTTTAACATTAATCAATCACATGTGATTAAAGTTATGAATATAATAATCACATTAAACATACTTGTTAAACATTGATTAATAATATGTGATTACCAAACATAATCACATATGATTAAAAGTTTTGTTAAGTATACTTTTCAACATGGATAAATCACATGTGATTACACTTATGAATATAACGATATAAACTAACAAAATGATTTTTTATATTTACAGTAAGCAAGTGTTGTTTACAGAAAACAAACGAGAAGTTTTCTGATATGTGTTTGAAAGCTTATATCCAGGAGAATCTCTATTTTTCGACGTTATAGACTCATGGGCTGAATTGCTAAATTACAATGAGAAGGATAAAGACTTAAAAAATTCTCCATATAGAGTATTCGTTTCTGTCCAACTCACAGTAAAGTTAAACATATGTGATTCTAATACTAAATTAATAAAAGTTGTTTAAATACATATATCATAATATATTGAATCACACATGATTCACCATTTAGACAAAGTACATTGAGGATGAGTCAATTCCAAAACCAACAAAAGATGAGAAGAAGAAAAAGATAGATAAACAAATGAAGGAAAAATGGAACCCGAAGCTAAGGAAAAGACGATAACAAATACAATCTATTCAGGAAATACCTTATAGATTGGTTAAATGGAGAAGAAGAAAAAACACAAATGAAAAATGTTGATCTTGAAAGTTTTTTTTTTAAAAAAAATCTTATTATTCTTATTATAGTGTATATCCTTTCTAAATATGACAATACATATTTAAATGCATATATTTTTCCCTGTTTTCCGTGAAGAACACATGTTTGTATTTGTTTTTAATATCAAAAATGCAAACATTGTGATACTGGAAAACAACATCTCAGGAGCAACAATCAAAGATAAGTACATGCATGTACTCAAAAACCTGGTAAGTAATCACATGTGATTATGTAAAACAATCACATATGATTGAATACAATACTTACAATAAAATGTGATAAAAAAAATCAAATGTGATTATATAAAACAATAACATGTGATTTAATAAAAAATATGAATAAACATTTGTAAATCACATGTGATTATACGTTTGAATTCAAGCATAAAACATTATTTCATGCTTGTAATCACATGTGATTATGCAAATTATTTTTAATAACATCTGATTGTATAAATATAAATAACATTTTTTATATGTTTAATTTTATGTGACTAACTTTATATTCTTTTTAATTTTCAGAAAAATACTTCTTGAGATATCTCCATGAGATCAATCATCCAAGATGTCATGCCCTTCAAGACCCAAATATCAAACCACAAATACAACATCTGATATGTAAAACTAAAAATAACAAAAGAGATTGTGGAGTATTTGTGATGAGATATATGGAAACATATATGGGTCAAACATAATACAAAATTGGATTTCCAAAAGAAGGAGTTCAAGATGCATTGCTCGATTGGGTGTGAACCAGATATGCTTACACATTGATAAATCCTAAAATTAATTTCTTGAAGTATGATATCATGGAGCTTGCTCATGAGTACAACAAACAAGATAAAAAGAAGAGAGAAAGCGATCAAAGAAAAGATTGTGCAGAAACCCATAAAAGGTTGAAGGACTGCCAATGAGGATGATTGAAGGCAAAGTGGTGAAGGGGAAGATGAAGATGCAAGTGCTAAAGGTGAAGATGTAAGTGGTGAATGTTGAAAGTGAAGATGGAAATGGTGAAGCTTAAAGGACTGTCTGTCAAAGGATAATTTGATTGTTGGTTTATTTAGACAATGTTTACTTTTTAATTAGATGAATGCTTGCTACTTTATTAAGACAATGTTTAGGTTTTGATTAGATAAATGTTTGAACATATATATATATATATATATATATATATATATATATATATATATGATATCATGGATATGTAACGCT